AAAATTTGCAACTATTTCAAATGGAAATTACTTAATATTTTCAGCTATTTCCTCTATTTATTTTTTGCCATGTGCTATTTGTCTAATTAAATATAGATATTACATTATACTAATCAAAATTTTATATTTTGGTCAACCTTCTCATTTAAGACGCAAATTTATTATTATTATTTGAGTTTTTCTGATATGTGTCTTAAAGACACATGTTAAGAACTTAAAAAATATATATATTTAATTTATTAATTGTTCAATTAAATTTTTTCATATGATATTAACTCTAAAATTAATATTTATTTTTATATTTTTATATAAATTTATTATAAAAAGATGTTTTAACTTGTACTGTAAAGATACAAATTAAAAAATTTATTATTATTATTATTATTTATATAGAATACAAAATGAATATAAATAGAAATGTATGCAATACAAATTCGGCCTATTAAGCATTATATAGAAAAAGAAAATTCAAGAGAAACCCCACATGTATATTAGAGTCAAACTCATAATTTCAAAATTGTGAAGTTTTAGCCATTCACTACATGTAAATTAAAATTGATAAGATGGTTTCGTGACCAAATCAAAACTTATCCTATCATCTTTTAACCTAAGAAAATAAGATATGAAATGACATTATTTATTATCTTTGTCTAAGAAATTTAGAGACTATATATCCATCAAAAAGAAATTTAGAAACTGTGTTGAAATTAATATTTTAAAAATAACATAAAATTAAATATGCATGTACATATTAATTTAAACTTGATTTTCAAATAAAAAATTAATTAAGAAGTATTATGTCACGTATACAAATTATTAAATAAAAAAAATAGTATAGTAGTTCATCACTACATCTGTCATTCCTAAAATAGAAAACAATAACAATAATTAAAATGGATTAGTTTAGCAGCAAGATTGGGCCACGCCGTGGGGGATTTCTCCACATCAACGCAACCGGCTGCCAGCCAGGCCAAACAGGTGTGCCCTACACTTACACGTAGCCGCTCTGTTTGGTTGAAATTGGAAGTGAGCAATAATGGGATGATGTGCTGGTGTAGTCTACAGCGCCCTTTTGAATGGATTGAATTGGAAGGCAAAGCAAAGGCAGACTCATTAAGTCACATAACATAATAGAAATATATAGTATTGTAATTCATTCCGTGCAATGCATAGCCACTTTTTCGCTCTTCCATGCCGCCATTACTCATGCCATAATTTTACAATATGCAGCCTACTCTACCTTCTACCCTCCACCCTTGCTTGCACACCATTATGTTATAACGTACCCCACAAAAAAAATGTCATAATTAAAGCTTCTTTCAATTGTATTATTTTAAAATTTTTTTGTTACCTAAATGATGTGCTGGTATTACATGAGTTCGATTCATCTTGAGTAACCAATGCTACAAGAAAGAATATTTATATAGGTTTTTGATTTGGTTTTTAAGACCAAATCTTATAATAGTAATATGATTTCAAATATGTTAATAAAAAAAATCATAAGTCTAATTTAATAAAAAGAATAATAGTTATTGATGTATGTGATTGTTATAAGAAATAATTAAGATTATAAATGTACCATATTTCAACAACAAATTTGTAAATACATGTAAATACTTGTATGATCTACTCATATTATAAAGTTCAAAATTACTAACAAGATAGTAATTAAGTTGGTAATCATTAATTTAAAATTTTTATTTAATATAAAGTTAAAATTTAAAATCTTACAACACTAAGTATCTAACTTCTTACATAGAAAAAAAAAAGGTGTTAATATGACAACTTTTTTATATTATTTTTTTATACAACTTTCACGTGTAATTGAATAAATAAATGTATTTAATATTATGAATTTCAAATAAATAAAATAAGCTACTCATTTAAATAAATGTAAGGTTGTATAAAAATGGTAAAAAAAAGTCTTTTAAATTATTTTCCAAAAACAAATGTTTGGAATCTTCCAAATTTGTCATAGGCTATAATTAATCACTTCTATCACATAATTTAGGTAAGCATTTGCCTAGTCTTAATCCATTCTTTTTTCTTTTTTCTTTCTTTTTTTTTTTTTTTTTTTTTTT